TCAGCAGTACAGCGCTCTCCTAGTATGCATGAGGCACTGAGTTTGATCCTCAGCACCACAAAAAAATAAATAAATAAAAATAAAGGTGTTGTGTCCAACTACAACTAAAAAATAAATATATATATATATATATAAAAAGAAAGGACAAGGAGGGGCTGGGGTTGTAACTCAGTGAGGGAGCACTTGCCTAGTACGTGTGAGGCACTGGGTTCAATTCTGAGCCTATAAATAAATGAATAAAATAAAGGTCCATCAACAACTAAAAACATATTTTTTTTAAAAAAAGGAAAAGGAAACATTTCCTCTTTTCAAAAACATTTTTTTTTTTTTTTTGGTATTGGAAATTGAACCTAGGGGTGCTTTACCTCTGAACTACAATCCCAATCCTTTTTATTTTTCAGTTTGAGACAGGGTCTTTCTAAATTGCCCAAGCTGGTCTTGAACTTTCAATCTTCCTGTCTTAGCCTCCTGAGTCACTGGGGTTACGGGAGTTCACCACTGCGTCCAATGAGGAAATATAATTTTGATCTGAGGTTTGACATACCTTTCCAGGCCTGTCACTCTCTGAGCCACTCTCTCTCCCAGGCAGGTCCCTCCCAAATTTCTGGGAAATCTGTAAATCTTAAATTTACTGTAAATTGACTCACTTAGGAAAATTACCTTTCACGCTGTTAATTAGCCCAATAAATAGAAACTTACAACTTAGAGGACTTTCCAGTATTTTCTACTGATCAGATAATGAAGACCTGGACAGCCTAAGAACACTGAGAAGAACCAAACTGATGCCATCCTAGCATACCCACTCATGTCCACCCCTCACCAAGTTTCCTTTAAAAGAAGAGTCAGAGAACCCAGAACTGTGTCTCACTCTCTGCATTCTCCTTGAATGTACATTACTTGTTTTTCTTAATAAATCTCCGTGTAAGTATTGGTGTGTACTGAAATTCTTTTCTGTCACATATACCAAGGACCCCACTTATCCTGAGCTTGACTCAGGAACTTGTTCTGCCCTCTCTGGGAACACTTTGGAAACCCTCTTCCAGTGACCTATATTCTCTGGTAATAATGCAAGTGTGTCAGGTGGCAGGATGAAGAATGGCTGGTCCCGTGAAGCCAGCCAGAAAAAAAAAAATCTTGTAAAAACTGTCTCTGAACTGGGTGCATGGCATGCACCTGTTAATCCCAGGGACTCGGGAGTCTGAGGCAGGAGGATCACAACCTCAAGGCCAGCCTCAGCAATTTATGGAGACCCTGTGTTAAAATAAAAAATAAAAAAGGATTGGGAATGTGGCTCAGTGCCCCTGAGTTGAATCCCCAGTCCTGGAACAAACAACTGACTAGAGAGCACTCTGTTGGACACTTTTTGTGACTTTGACACATTAAATAAAACACTTTTGCAATTGAAGTTACATTCAAATAAATACAAAGAGATATAAAATTCATATTTGTAAAAACCAGGGCTGGGGCTATTGCTCAGAGGCAGAGCGCTTGCCTAGCAT